TCTCTTTCTCTTCTTCTTCTTCTTCCTTTACTCACCACGTTCCCCTCCCCCCTCCCTTCCCCCTTCACCTATTCTCTCATTAAAATTTCTGTGTGATATGTTAGCCTAGTCTATTTCTCGCCCTCCCCTTCCTCTTCCTTCTGTTCCTCCTCCTCCTCCTTTTCCTCTTCCTATTTCTCTTTCTCTTCTTCCTCTTCCTCCTCTTCTTCTCCTCCTCCTCCTCTTCCTCCTCTCTTCTTCTTCCTCTTCTTTCTCCTCCTCTCCCTCCTTCCTTCTCTCTTCCTTCATCCTATCCTCCTTCTCTCCTTATCCTCCTTCTTCTTCTTCTGTTTCTTCTTTCTCCTCCTCCTCCTTCTTCTTCTCCTTCTCTTTCTCCTTCTCCTCCTCCTCCTTCTCCTCCTCCTCCTCCTTCTCCTTCTCCTCCTCCTCCTTCTCCCCTTCCCCTTCTCCTCCTCCTTCTTCTTCTCCTTCTCTCCTTATCCTCCTTCTCTCCTTATCCTCCCCTTCCGTACCTTCCTCTCCTTCTTCTTCCCTTCTCCTTCTCCTCCCCTTCCGTACCTTCCTCTCCTTCCTCCTCCTCCTCCTCTTCTTCTTCTTCTTCTCCTTCTTCTTCTTCTTCTTCTTCTTCTTCTCCTTCTCTCCTTATCCTCCTTCTTCTTCTCCCCTTCCCCTTCTCCTTCTCCTTCTTCTTCTCCTTCTCTTCCTTCTCCCCTTCCCCTTCTCCTCCTCCTTCTCCTTCTCTTCCTCCTCCTCCTTCTCCCCTTCCCCTTCTCCTCCTTCTCCCCTTCCCCTTCTCCTCCTCCTTCTTCTCCCCTTCCCCTTCTCCTCCTTCTTCTTCCCTTCCCCTTCTTCTCCTTCTTCTCCTTCTTCTTCTCCTTCTCTCCTTATCCTCCCCTTCCACTCCCACCTTCCTCTCCTTCCCTTCCCCTTCTCCTCCTTCTCCTTCTCCCCTTCTCCTTCTCCTCCTTCTTCTCCTTCTCTCCTTCTCCTTCTTCTTCCCTTCCCCTTCTCCTCCTCCTCCTCCTTCTCTCCTTCTCCTCCTTCTTCTTCTTCCCTTCCCCTTCTCCTTCTCCTCCTCCTTCTCCCCTTCCCCTTCTCCTCCTGCTCTTTCTCCTCTTCCCCTTCTCCTCCTCCTCCTTTTCCTTCTCTTCCTTCTCCTCCTTCTTCTTCCCTTCTCCTTCTCCTCCCCTTCCGTACCTTCCTCTCCTTCCCTCCTCCTCCTTCTCCTTCTCCTCCTCCTTCTTCTCCTTTTCTCCTTATCCTCCCCTTCCGTACCTTCCTCTCCTTCCCTCCTCCTCCTTCTCCTTCTCCTCCTTCTTCTTCTCCTTCTCTCCTTATCCTCCCCTTCCGTACCTTCCTCTCCTTCCCTTACTGAGGAGACGTTGGCATGTTTACGCGTCAAATTTAGGGCAGTCTGCGTTCCTCTGTATGTGTTCGATTGGGTGTCCTAGATCTGCCCTTTAATCTTTTTTTAACTATCAGCTTGCCTCTGCTTGTTGTTCGTCATGTGAGGTTATTTCTGTAATATTATGTATGTTGTTTAGTTTGTTTGTTTGTCTGTATGTCCATCTTTCTGCTTGATTTGATTTTGTTTGTTGGCGAAGAGTGAAGGAAAAAGGTTTCGGACGAGGTGGTCATGGGATATGATCGATCAGTCTAAATGCGTTTGTGTTTAATTTTAATTTTCTTTTTCTCTTGTGATTTTAAAATTATTCTTGTAGTCTCTTCTCATTCTCTTTCGTCAAAGGATTTTACGGATGCTGGAATATATCTCTTAAATGTCCCCTCTCTCTTTTATTTCGTCCAATTTCTTCTATTTTTCCTTCTTATTATTCAAAAAACAACTTAGAACTGCTTCAGATGCATATAGATATATCTGCCACATGCCTCATGAATTCACAATGCATCGTAAACAGAAAACTTCTCTGTAAACACATCAGAAAATTAATATATGTATGTATGTATATATGTGTGTGTGTGCGCGAGTGTGTGTGTGTGTGTGTGTGTGTGTGTGTGTGTGTGTGTGTGTGTGTGTGTGTGTGCGTGTGTGTGTGCGTGTGTGTGTGCGTGTGTGTGTGTGTGCGTGTGTGTGTTTTGTGTGTGTGTGTGTGTGTGTGTGTAAATGGGTAACTAATGATAATAAAAACCATAACACTACCAACAGCAATAATAATAGAAATAATAACAATAAGAAACGTTAACAGGAAACCTTGATTTCCCGAAAAAGATCGCAGAGATCAAGAGAAGAGCCTTAGACGTCGCTTCATAAAACACGATCTATTTATAAGCCAAAGTGTTTGCAAGTCCAGCCAAACCTTCCGGGCCAACAGGAACGCCACAGAAAACAACTTAACCTGCGCACTTTAGACAAGAGAGATATTTATCATCTTTCTTGAGATTGGGAGAATGATTGTTGTTTTCCTTTAAACTTTGAAGTGGGGGGGGGGAGAGTTATCAGCTGATGTGGCTGTCTTGCGGGAGATTTTATCATTGTTCGTGTCTATAGAATCTTTCTTTTTTTAACGTGTTCTGGAGTGTTGTGTGGTATGATCAGTTTATGTCTTTTCGTCTTTTTTTGAAGATTTGAGGAATTACCATTTTCATTTGAAGTGGTTTGGTTTATTGTTTCCGTCCTTGAAGTGTATGAATTCATCTTTTGACTTTAGAGTATTTCTCGTAAGGAATGCTGCATGACCCTAGTCATATGTCAGTTGCAATGTCGTGACGTCACCGATGTCATATCTCAGATGTCAAACAACGACAGTGCTCCGAGGCCATATAATCAAACCTATAAAATTCAATGTGAAACCACTTTATTACAGTGAATGGCAAGGAAATCATTGACTAAATGGACGTTTCAGTCATATAGCTTGAATAGAGTCTCTGATTAGGCAAGGATCAATGCAAGCTTTGTCACGGCTGATGAATACTTGTGACAAGCATGATGGCGTATGAGAATGGTGAACAAGATGGCTTTAGTGAATCTGTAAGTCTTGTTGAAGAATCCTTTTGCCCGCAGAGTTAGCGTTGTTTTTCGCCGTATGTATAGATAGAGATTTAAGTGTAAATCTTGACACATATACTCACGCACAATATATATATATGTGTGTGTGTGTGTGTGTGTGTCTGTGTGTGTGTGTGCAAATTTCTGATCCCCAGAAGGGTTTGGGCTTTAAATGTGTAGTTCGTCAATGTTTGAAACTCAATCTTTCACCGTTCTCTTTCTCTCCCCATCACCTTCCTTCCCTCTCCCTCTTCTCCCTTCTTCTCTTCCCTTCCTCCTAAAAAAAAACAGCAGCAAATCGTCATGCACGCAAACAGCTTTGTTGACTTTGTTGACAACTCCCCGCCAAGAGCAAGAACCAGAAAGGTTTCATCGGGGGATTTTTACCTCTATGCCCCACTCACACAAGGCTGGCTTTCCTCCGCGCATTCATTTCCCTGTAGTATTGTCGGAGTCTTGGGCTTAAGGTTAGATCAAGGAAAACGTGTTTGTGTAATAAAGTGACCCGCTGGCTGAAAAACCAAAGGGGGAAATGAAACTGACGAATTGATTAACCTGGCACAGATTCAGGTATATTATTTCGTTTTATTTTTCCGTATCTTGCTTTTATGTTTATTTATCTTTTTATTTGTTTTATTTTTCCGTATCTTGTTTTTATGTTTATCTATCTTTTTTTATTTTATTTGTTTTATTTTTCCGTATCTTGCTTTTATGTTTATCTATGTTGTTATTCTTATATATTTGTTTATGTGTCAGAGTGTTTTTTTCTTATTTTATTCATAGAATCCAACAACCAATTAAGCATATTTTCGATAATTCTAAGTGGTTTAACTGGCAGAATATACATTTCGAAAGTCGAAATGTTACCAACGAAAATATGGCGCAACGAAAATGTTGTCACGAAATATCAAACAAAAACATATTAGAATTTCCTTCGGATTTCAGACGTGAAATGGTTGAGAAATATCACAAACTTGAAAGTTCGTGAAATATCTTTATAATACACACAATAAGATGTAATCATTATAATATATGAAATATAAGTATAACACGTAGAAATTTGATATTAAAGAGAAGAAATTTAATGATATAACCGTATAAAATATAAAATATATATAAAATATAATGATGACAACAAAATGTAGACTTAACTCATATTATAAAGACATAATAACACATAAGATATAAAAGATAGAAAAAAAAACTATGAACACAACGTCACATAAATAATACACATAATAATATTATACATAATACTTTAAAGTGTAAACATAAATATATAAAACAGAAACACACTAACAAAACACAAGATACAATACATTATCTAAATTACAAACCATATACATAAAATATACTGGGAATGCTAACCTGAATGTAAGGCTCTAGTGCATGTGAATGATATAACACACAGCTGGAAACTGTAACGTTATTAATGGGGGTAAGTAACATGTATGACTCTTCGCACTTGTTGAAAATCCACCAAAACGGATTATGAAATTTTCACTTGTTTCTCTTTATCTCTCTCTCTCTCTCTCTGTCTGTCTGTCTGTCTCTCTCTCTCTCTCTCTCTCTCTCTCTCTCTCTCTCTCTCTCTCTCTCTCTCTCTCTCTCTCTTTCTCTTGCCCTCGCTTTTTGCCTCTCTATACATTTGTCTTTTCGTATATTATTATTGCATATCTGTATAACAAGTGACTGCAATATATAGTATATTTTTTCTAGTAGTATTGTAGTATTTTTTTACAAAATGTCTATTTTGCAATACTGCATTTTTTTAAGAAACTAGATTTTTTATATACTATGATAAATTGTGTTATAGATGCTGTTTCTATACTATTCACTGTTGCTATCTATTTGAGCTAATATTTCTTAGTTTCAATTTGAGTCAACAGCCCATTCAATTAGTGTATGAGTTTGAGCTTTATTGCCCCTTTTCAACCCGGATATGTGTCTTTCTCTTCTCTTTTATTAATACTTGGTCACTGTTTCTTCTTTACAGGGAATAAAAGTTTCTCCAAGACCGCCAAAATGCCTCAGAAACCCAGAAGAAAGAGAGTTAGTATTTTATTTTAAGTTAAGAGTTTGTTAATATAAAAATAAAACCATTCATAACACGATTGTTTAACCAAATGTTTTTAATATGGTTTCTAAATGCTATGGGATGGCATTACGAAAGGTTTGTCAACTTTCTTTTGTTTTTGTGCTCTGTTCTTTATAATGTCGATGTTTTATTTTCATTTTTTCTTTTTTATCTCATATGTGTATTTCAAAATATACTCTAAAAGGACAATGAAAATAATTGTGTATTCCTGTATTGTAACAACTCGACAAAACTGAAACAAGATTTCCTGTCGTCTGAAATAGATACAGAAATCTATAAGGAAGTGAAATTAACTGGCATTCTAGACTTTTATCATTATCATTATTTCTATCATTTCCATTATCATTATTGGTCATTTGTATCATTATCATTATTATCATTAACATTTACTATATCAAATTTATATCCAATTTACTATAACATTTCGTATACGATTACTGTAACGTTTACTATTAGTTAATATATTACTTTCAGCTATATTATACATAAATATTTTTTGCATATATATATATATATATATATATATATATATATATATATATATATATATATATATATATATATATATATATATATATATATATATATATATATATCGTATGTATAATATTTATGGTGTAATTTTAGATACGACACGTGGGAGTTTGAAAGAGATACGGTAAGGTTGGCAGCCCTTGCACGATGCTGTTATTTTTAATAGATTTCTATTTCCGCTCCACATTCCAGTTGGGAAAAAATAAACATATAAATAACCATGCATTCTTTATACACTATGAACGACTAATTCCTTGAAACAGAGGTAATTAATTATTTGTTCTCTAATGAATAACAGGTGAAATGTGTCTTAGCAGGAGAGACGTGAAACAGAATTGTAGAAGACACTGGGCGTGAAAGTAAAGGTATTTCTCTCCTGGGTGACTCATCGGTTAGAAGGAGGGAAGGGGAGGATGGAGGGAGGAGAGAGGGGAAGGGAGGGAGAGGAGAGAGGTGAAGGGGAGGGGATGGAGGGAGGAGAGAAGGGAAGAGAGGGAGAGAGGGGAAGAGAGGGAAAGAGGAGAGAGGGAAGGGGAGGATGGAGGGAGGAGAGAGGAGAAGGGAGGGAGAGGAGAGAGGTGAAGGGGAGGGGATGGAGGGAGGAGAGACGGGAAGAGAGGGAGAGAGGGGAAGAGAGGGAGAGAGGGAAGGGGAGGATGGAGGGAGGACAGAGGGAAGGGGAGGATGGAGGGTGGAGAGAGGGGGAGGGAGGGAGAGGAGAGAGGTGAAGGGGAGGGGATGGAGGGAGGAGAGAAGGGAAGAGAGGGAGAGAGGGAAGGGGAGGAGAGGGAGGGAGAGGAGAGAGGTGAAGGGAGGGGATGGAGGGAGGAGAGAAGGGAAGAGAGGGAGAGAGGGAAGGGGAGGAGAGAGGGGAAGAGAGGAGAGAGGGAAGGGGAGGATGGAGGGAGGAGAGGAGGGGGAGGGAGGGAGAGGAGAGTGGGGGAAGAGGAGAAGGAGAGAGGGAGAGGAGGGAGGGGGTGGAGGGAGGAGAGAGGGGAAGGGGAGGATGGAGGGAGAAGAGAGGGGAAGGGAAGAGAGGGAGAGAGGAGAGAGGGAAGGGGAGGATGGAGGAAGGAGAGAGGGGAAGGGAGGGAGGGAGGGGAGAGGGGAAAGAAAGGGGAAAGGATAGAGGGAGGAGAGAGGGGAAGGGGAGGGGAGGGATGGATGATGGGAGAGGGGAAAGGAAGGGGAAGGGTGGAGAGAGGGGAAGGGAGGGAGGGGGGGGAGGGGAAGGGAGGGAGGAATGCAATTTGAGGAATTTGAAGGTGAGAAGGTTTTAGAATCGGGATGAGGAGGGGGGAGGGGGGAGGGGGGGGGTATTTTAGGGAAGGGAATGTCGTTTATCTCTTTCGGTCTTGTGTGTGTGTGTGTGTGTGTTTGTTTGTGTGTTTCTGTGTGTGTATGTGCGTGTGCGTATGTACGTATTAATGTATTTGTGTGTGTGTATGTGTGTGAATCTATATGCGTATGTGCGTTTGAGTAAATGCATTTGTGTGTCTGTACGTATGAAGGTATTTGCTTCTTTTTTTTTCTTTGTGAGATTTGTGAGAGTATATGAATATATTTGTATTAGATTGTTAACACAAAGAGAGATAGATACTTAGATAGATACATACAAATATGGATAGACATAGGAGAGGCAGAGACATAGATCTTTGCATATATACATAAAAAGGTAGACAGACAGGCACTAATCTATTTATTTACATATATCAACGAATAATAATGATAATAAAGTTCAACAAAGATCTCATTCTTTTCCCTTCTCCCTTCCTATTCCTCTCCCTCTCCCTCCCTCTCTCTCCCTCCTTCTCTTCGTCCCTCTTTCCCTCTCCCTCCCTCTCTCTCCCTCCCTCTCTTCGTCCCTTTTTCCCTCTCCATTCTCCCTCCCCCTCCCCCTTCTCCCTTCCCCGTCTATCCTTCTATCTCTCTCTCTCTCTCCCTCTCCCTCCCTCCTTCTCTTCGTCCCTCTCTCCCTCTCCCTTCTCCCTCCCACCTCTATCCTTCCGTCTCTCTCTCTCCCCTCCCCCCTTTTCCTTCCCTCTGTCTCTCCCTCTCTCCCCTTCTCCTTCCCCCCCTTCTCCTCCCCCCCCCATCTCCTTCCCTCTCCCTCTTCCTCTCCCCACTCTCCCTCCCTCCCTCCTTCCCCCTCTCCCTCCCTTCTCCCTCTCTCCCCCTCCCCCTTCTCCTTCCCTCTCCCTCTTCCCCCGTTTCCCCACTTCTCCCTCCCCCTCACTATCCTTCCCTCTCCCTCCTCTTCTCCCTCTCCTTACATCCTCCTCGCTCCCTTCTCCTTCCCTCTCTCTCTGTCTCTCTCTCTCTCTCCCTCCCTCCCTTCTCCTTCCCTCTCCCTCCCCCTTCTCCTTCCCTCTCTCTGTCTCTCCCTCTCCCTCCCCCCTTCTCCTTTCCTCTCCCTCTCCCCCTCTCCCTCTCCCTCTCCCTCTCCCCCCTTTCCCTCTCCCTCTCCCCCCTCTTCCTCTCCCCCTCTCCCTCTCCCCCCTCTCCCTCCCCCCTTCTCCTTTTCTCTCCCCCTTCCCTCTCCCCCTCTCCCTCTCCCCCCTACCCCCTCCCCCCTCTCCCTCCCCCCCCTCTCCCTCTCCCCCCTCTCCCTCTCTTTAACATTATCAACTCCTATGAACGCCTTCCACAAAAATTCTTTACCGTCACAACTATTCGCAAAGTCTTACAGTAGGACACAAAAATAGCTGCGACGCTCACCTCTGCACCCGCGTCTACCTGCTAGTGTTTTTAATAGCTACATGAGGTCGGGAATTATGTGCTATTTGTACCTTTTGCTTGTTGTCTCAGAGTAACAAGGTGGTTTAAATTTCCTGCTTGTGTGGTTATAATGTCTGGCTATCCTTCTCTCCCCTCTAAACCTCTATCTGTTTCTATGTATGTATGTATCTATGTATGTATGTATGTGTCTATTTATATCTGTTTATCTATCTATCTTTCTAATTGTTTCTATCTATCTTTCTTTCTATATATCTATCTTTCTATCAGTCTACCTGTTTTTATCTAGGCTATCTTCCCCGTTATCGATTTTCATGGCTAATTCACATAGCTGTGTATCTATCTGTCTGCCTACTTAGTAATCTATCTGACGGGGTATCTGTTAAATTGTCTGCCTAATTATATTTTTTCTTAATTGTCTATCTATCTGTCTACCATTCTTGATAGATACATCTATCTGTCTTTCCCCTACTCTTCCCTTCCCCCCTTCTCCTCCCCCCTCTCTCCCTCTCCCTCTCATACCCCTTCTCTCCCTCTCCCTCTCCATCTCTCTCTCTCTATCCAACCTCTATCTCCCTCTCCCTCTCCTCCCCCTCTCTTCCTCTCCCCTCTCCCTTCCCCCTCTCTTCCTCTCCCTCTCCTCCCCCTTTCTCCCTTTCCCTCTATACCCCTCTCTCCTTCTCCTCTTCTTCCCCCTCTCTCCCTCTTTCTCTCTCCCTCTCCTCCCCCTCTCTCACTCTCACTCCCTCTCCCTCTCATCGCCCTCTCTCACTCTCACTCCCTCTCCCTCGCCTCCCCCTCTTTCCCTCTCTCCCTCTCCACCCCTCTCACCCTCTCCCTCTATCCTCCTCCTCCCCCCCTCACTCTCACACTCTCTCTCTCTCATCCATTTATATAATCATTCATCACATTCTCAGACCCACAAAAACGGACACGTGCCACCCTCACCCACCCGATTTCACGTGTCCCTTTCACGTGGTCTGCGCTAACTGCATTAGAACAGGAGAACGCAGTTGGCGTGAAAATGGAAATGGGAGGAGGGGAGGGAAGGGTAGAGGGGGGGAGGGCCAGGAGGGGGAGGGAGGGAGGGGGAAGGGGGGGAGGAGGAAGGGACAGGAAGGGGAGAGGAAGAGGGGTAGGAGAGGGAAGGGGGAGAGAGAGGGAAAGGGGAGAGGAGGAAGGGACAGGAGGAAGAAGGGAGAGAGAAAGGGAAAAGGGGAGAGGAGGAAGGGACAGGAAGGGGAGAGGAGAGAGAGGCAGGAAGGGGAGAGGGGAAAGGAGGGGGACAGGAAGGGAGGAGGGAGAGGGGAGAAGAGGAAGGGCAGGAGGGGGAGGGGGGAGGGGGAAAGGAGGAAGGTATCATAGGGGGGGAGAGGGGATAAGTGAAGATAGCGTATGTAGGCCAAGAGAGGGATGAGACCGTAGAAGGGGGATAGGGGGGAAGGGAAGAAGAGGGGCATAGGATAGGGGTAAGAGAGAAATTGGGAGAAAGTAGAGGAGAGTAGGGAATAGAGGGAAGAGAGCGTAGAGGAGGAAGAACGAACAGGAAGAAATAGAATAGGATAAGATAGGAGAGGGGGAGAGGAGGGGAAAGTGGAAGAGGGAGAGGTGGGGAAGATAGGACGAAAGAGGGGAGTATAAAAGAAAAGAGGGGAGTCAAGTGAGAAGTCTAAAATTAGTGAAG